CGTTACACATACCTTTTGACGTTAACTTGGCACAATGGAGACACACAGCTTATAGCGAACATAAGGGTTATTATAATTATTAATTTAGACCATCAAAATCATTACTAATTCCGAAATGCACCCAAATTATTTTATAGTGTCTTATCCACATTTGTAATTCGTACCTAATATTTTAAAACATAGTAGCTGTTGCCCGCGACTCCGTCCGCGGGCGACCTACAAAAATACTTAAATAGTGTAGCCCACCCATTCATCCATCCACATCACATCCATCTAAACATTCGCGTTTAAATAAAAAGCAGCTCTTCAAGACATAAATTTGAAAAAAAAATAATGAATATTATCCTATGGCTGTCTCCTGGTTCTAAGCTACCTCCTCACCAATTTTCAGCCATATCAGTAAAGCTGTTCTTGAGTTATAAATAGTGTAACTAACACGACTTTCTTTTATATATACAGATTTCTGTTGTAGTTGAAATAATATTTCAATTTACAATATAAGAAGATAACATTTGAGTTAAATTTATTCGTGGCCACAGTTGTCGTTTGCGAGCGCGCAGTAATTTGTCACAAGCGCTTCTGTTATCGAAGCACAGAGAGCGAGCTGCTCGACCAAACAAAGAGATTTAACTGTAATATTCGCAAAACCCCTGTGAATATGACGAATACTGTTGTTATAACATTTTTCAATAAAATATCAAATAGATACTACGAATTACAGATTCTTTAACTTGGTACCGCGTTTCAAAGGTGTAAAAGATGAGAAAGATTTCAATGCTTGCTTTTCTAACCTATTTCAATAGAAAGATGCGAAGTACGCTGTGAAATAAACACCTTTGAACCTTATTCCTGAGGTGTGTATACAGGGTGTACGCAAAATGAACGTGCGTAGCATCGCCTTGCGTTTGCCGAGGGTCACGTACTTTAGCACTCAAAGAAACACTACAAAAAGATTTTTTTACAAAGAGCTCACTTGTAGAAGGCGTCATAAAAAAACTCTCATTTCTTTTACAATCATTGGTTAGAGGTTGGTAATATGATTTATAATATTACATTACAATTTTTGTGAACCTCTTGAGCTATTTCGATTTAATTTTACTATTATCGAGATGGCAGTGCAGCACTGGAAAATACATTGAACTAAATCGTACGATCACACTTAATATGCAAACATTTTTGTCTCCATAAAAACAAAAGAATATTCTAAGAATCTAAAATATCTAATATATAAAATTCTGTCACAATGTTAGTTACCACATTCTTCCGAAACGGCTTGACCGATGATTATGAAATTTTATATGCATATATTCAGTCTGTGAATCGGCTACAATCAATTTTGTAATTCCGCGAGGACGGAGTCGCGGGCGTCAGTTAGTATCTAATATATAATAATATCCTTCTTACTTTCTTAAACAATTTAAGCGTTACAAGCGTGACATTAGAGAAAATATTTGTTCAACGTGTAAGGGAAATCCAGTTTATTTCCCAGTTGTAAATTGCAAACGATAAATCTATTTTCACATTGTGAAAATTGGAACTATAATTTTGTGAGCACTGGCTTGCAGTTTTACAACAACCATAGCACGGTTGGAAACATTTGTATAAATTGCACGTGTGATAAACTATTATTTATGCTCGTATTTTACGAATCATTTGTTTTTATTGTGTCAGAGATTAGTTATATGACGGTACGTGTAGCTAACGATATTATTTAACACATCTTGTTAATGTTATAACTGCAAATGTTTGGATGGATGGATGAATATCAGTAGATATCTCCAGATTGGCTCCATAGAATTGGCATGGAATTGGCTGCATAGTCTGCATATAACTCACTGAAATGAAGCATAGATGTAGAACATAGCCTGGAAGTACGCACTACCATCTCTAAAACAGACATAAAGTTTAAGTAATTTTGCGTTTTGTCTGATGAGTGTCTGCGCCTGTCACTTTGCTATTTTAGCGTATTTAAGTGCCTTTTGCCACTTTTTGCTGTAAAACCCAATATTTTATCATTATGACAGTGCCTTACCGAAATCTACAAACGTTAAATCGATGAAATCCTCTCCACCTTTATATGTACTGAATTTCAATGCGTAAAACATGCTCAAACCATTAAAACGTTCATTTCATTTCAACCTTATTGAAATGACGTTAGAATATAAAATTGCACAACAGTTAATATTTACGCATGATTCAATTTTAAGAAATAAATTGTCCTTGTGATATCGAAATTTCATTTATTTTCGAAATCGTTTATGTCATACTGATTTCAGTGGGGTGTAAATTTTCGATTTATTTACCGTCTACTTTTTGAATAACCTTTTAGGTTACTTAACTCAAATGGGATAGACAGAGCAATGCAATATAATATGTGGATTACATTCCAAAAGTGAAAAGATAACTAGGTTTTCTGCCATAGTCACAATTTAATTATAACAGCAATTGTGTCGTTTGTCTATATTTAGTACATATTTTATGAGTAATTTCCCATATTTTTTGGTACAAATTTCAATTTCATTTCCGATTGATTCAGTAAATCATTTTACTGGGTATAAAACTAACAAATATATATTTTTTTGTAAGAAATCCTAACTTTCTTGGAAGAAACCTAAGTGTAACTTAATTGTTTGTAAGTCAAAAGGATATTAATCTTATCATTCCTAGCTTAGCTGGCTTTAGCGATACGAATGCGTAATGCGAGTTAACCGCGACGATATCGGCACACGGCTTACAGTAAATCCCACCTGAAACCATTATTGCTAAGATTCTTCCCTTAGCGTAACGTTTACCACAGAGTATTTATGTTTTTTATTTTATTTCTTCCTTCGGTGTACTTTTTTTTTCAAATCGCTATCACCCAATCTATTCGAATTCATATCATCACAAGCATGATTGACTAGCAGTCGCCCGCGACTCCGTCCGTAAGGAACTAAAAAAAAACTTAATCAGTAGCCTATGTATTCTTCCTGACGATGTTCTATATGTACGCAATTTTTTTGCGATACCCATGTATCCGTTCCCGAAATACCTGCAAACAAACATCCATCCAACCAAACATTCGCTTTTATATATTAGTAAGATTTCGTTGCATTGAACTGAAATTTAATTTCACTATATTTTTTCATTCCACATTTTAAAACTCATGTTAATTAAGCCTTTTTGTATTCAATTTAACGTTATCATGACGATAACATCTTAACGTAAGCCCGGTTTTATCCTTATACGTATCTAATACCAGTCATATGTAATTAACTAAGATCCATAATGTTTGAGCCTTATAAACTATTAATTTAGACACAACCTAATGTTAAATAATATATCATTACTTAATTACAATCCATTTCAGAGGCATTTAACTTTGCAAAATTATTAATCTTAATTGATACTCAAAGATTACTATCAAATATAATTTTTTTTCATGATTTGAGTAGGACTAAAAATTCTTTATCAGTTCTATTAAAAAACAATTAATAGATTGCTACAAAAAATAGAATGTTTTATTTAAATTCCGCAGTACTAGTATACTCTAGGTTTATTAATCTCTTAAATCAGTTAATGGAATGCTCTCAGCGAAACAATCCGCGATCCATTACACGGCACGGCTGTGTCAATAAACAAGCTGGAGCCCACTTCCAAGGTGTTTGCAGACGGTTAACGAGCACAAATTATGTTTCCAAGCGATCTTTTATTTACGTTACAGATTAAAAATGAATCAAAGAATTGAATAGCATTTTATCATAGTTGATTAAGGTGATTACACATCAGTGCGAGTGAGTTACATTTTTTTTAAATGTACAACGTTTGCGCGCAAATGTTGTACATTTGCGCGCAAAAGAGATTAAGGCGTGCAAACCGTGAAAATTGTTATATCACTTAAGAGATAAAGTTTAGAAATGTAAACTAACTTTCTGATGACAGAATGTTTTGTTGTTCTTGTTGTGTTCTTTGCTGATTTACTCTTTCTTTATGCCAGTTACATAGTTATTCCACTTTCCGTCATAAAAAATATCCTGTGTGCCAAAGAAATATCCAAATAAATAGTTGATATGAACGAAAATATGAGTCAACATCACTAAAGCGATCCCAATAAGAAATATATCAGTCAGTGTCATCATGTCCACTTATTGTGAATTGCTCTCTTAGAATAAAATAAATTGCGAGCGCCACTCGACCCGGGCACTGCCCGCAGCCGCAAAAAACTATCCTTTCGTAATGACCGCTCAATATACTGAGGGAAATAAATGGTCGAATGTGGACAGTCGAAATAAGTATTTTGTTACAATTTTAAATACACACAATATAACATTTGGTTTTAACTTAGATTTATATTAATTTGTTAATAATTTCATTCTAAATATGTATGTAAGGTCAAACATTCACACAATAAAAATATTTTAAAAAGCTTGACCTACCTCTATCTTTTCTAAATCGAAGAATTAAAGCACGAGAATAAAACAAAACACTTTTTATAAATGGTTAATGTAAACTGATTTTATTTAGGTTTTTATGTGTATTATTTTTCTGCGAACAAACGAAACTCGGTCGAATAAATAATGTGATTGACACCTTATCTCGAATCCAATTTTAACACAAATTTCTAACCTAACGTATGCTATTATACGCGAAACGACTTGCAGCTTTGCTAGCAAAATATTACACTTTCAATTTGTACTGCAAAGAAATAGATTTATTGGATGCAATTTGTTATGAGAGAAATTGACGCCGGGGATTCCCTTTACATTCCACATTTAGCATACCCATTGCACGTTACTGTTTAAAATACCGACGATTCGAGTTTTACCTTTCCTGTCTCATACATTGCTGTTTTATTATGGCACATGATTTTACAAAACATTACACAAGTAGTATTGGATAGTATTAGGGATGTTATTGTATCTAGTCATTATTCATTGGAAGAATGTAGTATCAAAGCATTGGATGACGAGATGGGAGATATATAAAGGATTGGAATTTCGTTTCCTTCGCAGATTAACACTTAGTACAAACGATGAAGGGACGTGTAATTTTTTTCGTTGTTTTAATTGGTTTGGCTTTTGTCGCCACAGCATCACTAGATGAATCCAGACGTAAGATTTTTATATCACTTATATTTGTTTTCGAAAGTAGTTCAATACCATTGTGGCCGTCTGTTATCTAACGAGCTTAAACTTAAACTTAAACAATATGGGACACCAGATTCATATTCCTCTAAATAATTCCCCGGAGTGTTATAGGGGTACTGTCATTGATGCTTCCTGCTTTTAAGCCGACTTCAAAATGAAGTAGGTTATATAGAAACTTATAACTAATTTTAATTATTTATTCTTACAGAATCATCATTAGAAACTAGACTAAAACGGGAAACGATTATGGTGAAATCTCCGAAGGGCTGCGTTTTCTACGAATGCATTGCTCGCTGCAGACAGCGCGGCTACCTGTCCGGTGGCTACTGCACCATCAATGGATGTCAATGTTTAGGATAAATACATTTAGTATGAAAACCATGAATTCCTGGTTGTTGTGTTCATAATTGTACATTGATCTGTGTTGTTTATTAATAAAATATTTATGAAACTGATTATTTTTTTATCATCCATTTTTATCAAATTTTAAAATGATAAGCTTTGCTTAACAAACATAAATAAAAAGTAAAGTGTGTAACATACTTATGCAGTCCTAAGGGCGTTGACTGTGTGGTTAACGTTGGGTAAAGAATCGGTGACTAACTTAATCAGAAGCTGACGGAAATTCACCGCACCACAAGAACATATACATTTTAATATATATTTCTATGCAGGTTGTCTTATTTCACCGATTGGAATCAACGACCGAGTGACTTTCGAAGTCACTGCAATCTTGTTTTTACCTTGTAACACGTTTTTCTTTATTAGCGATGTTTATAATTTATGGACACTGAAAAATAAAGGTATTAAATATAAAATAATATAAAAAATTAAATTGTTTAAGTAAAGCAGAATTTGTTACGACCTTAGACGTTTTAAATACGATAATCTTCTTAATTTAAGAATAGTTATTCTTGTGCTATCGTTAAAAATATAAGTAAACATACATAATACCGTGTAGCATATTTTTTTAATTATATAAAACACTGTTTATGTTGAATTTGAATAATTTGTTTTTCAAGCTGACCTTATTTTAAGCCAAAAATATTAACGGAAAAGAATAACAACATAGTTTCTTTCAATAGATAACAAAACAAATTTAACAGAAAAGATTCTGAGAAAGCGTTTTATAATAAAATAAAGAACTCAAGTAGGCTATCTTTCTATTGTTAATGTTATTTTCATTAATAACATAAGTACTTTTTTTGGAAAATTCGACAACAGTATCGACGTTCAAAAAGTGCAGCGTTCAAAAGAAGGCAATAATCGACAAACTGCATTCTTTTGTTGTACTTTATTGTTTTTGTTGACGAATTGTTGATGATATGCAATATATATATATATATATATGATTTTACACTAGGCGTTTGTTTTCTTTTGAAACACCTTACAATTATTATAAGAAAAAGGGTATATAAATATACAATTATCTTGTCATAAATTTATTTTATTTCACTAACTATTAATACTGTATAAAAAACTTTTAAAAGAAATGTTCTATATGTTAAAATAGAAGCTACCTTTTTCCTACACCACAAACAAGAAAACTAGAAAACTATTTCAATATTTCCCTTTATTCACCAATGTGTACGGCGGCAAAAAGTAGTTCGGTATTGTCGAAGGAACGATTATTCTTCCCGCAATAGATAAATCACGTATAACTTTCTTCTTTCCCGTTCCGTAATAGTAAGCCTGGATAACAAGTTTGGAGCAATAGCTCGGGTTGGTAGACCAAATATCGGTACTAATTTTGTACGTTATATGTTTAGTTTTAGTGGCGCCACCTGACGGATTGTAATAGGTTCTATCAGCCCAGTTCGCAGCTTGTCGAGCGACTGAAGCGTCTCTATTCCTATATACAGTTGTCCAGTCAGATGCGTGTTGGTCAAACCATTTGTGTTTAGGAACTTGCCGGTTGTTGTCCCTTATCCCGTTATCCCAACCTTTACCTCCCGGCATTTCTAGCACCCAATAGTCAGTTGTCATTATAGCAGCGTGTCCAATTAAACCACCGATTCCTCGTCCAGTGATCAAAATATCTCCTTTCTTAACCAAATTTACGAATCTTCTTTTATTATCTGCGGTACTACGTTTTGATATCTTCCTTTGAAATAAGGATTCTTGCGTGTCGCTGAGAATTCCATAGTTGTTTGTGATCAGCCAATCTTCATAGTTAATCTGTTCTGTGTCATTTGTCGTTCTATATTCCTCGTACAAGGGTTTGAATATATTTGTTTCATCTTTTAGGAATGAATCAAATGTATACTTTTTAGTATTAATTATTCCTAATTCAACGCCAATATTGTAAGCTCTGATGGTGTTATTGTAGGTTGAAATTTCATCTGTACAAAAGAAAACACTAAATAGCATAAAAAAACATACATGCGATTGGGAACCTCCTCCTTTTTGAAGTCGGTTAAAAATTTATATAATATTTAATCTCTTAAATAAATATTTCAATTTTTTCATCAATTTCTATATCACCTATTTCTATAATACCTAATGCAATGTACACATGATACAAAAACTTTACTTTAAACATAAACAAAATATAATTAGTTACCTTTTTCAACCCGATCATCGCAAAAACTTTGCGATGCAACTGAGAGAAGTATGAAAAAATAAATTCTGTACAAACACTTCATCATAACTACAAACTTTTAAATATGTAGCTATCACACTAAACAGCATTATTTATATCATTATAATTAGGTTAGTGCGAAACTCTTTATCAAAATTCCAAGAGTTGCCTAGCTTAGGGGATGTCCTGGAGATAAAAAGATTACTAACACATACTGATGTATACTTGAATCATTTAACCTTACAACGAACAGACATTGTTTGATTACAAAGTCAATACGTGATAATTTGTAGTGCAAATTTTATGAGTAAACTGATAAAAAAATCGCCAGAAGCACTTAACGCAGTGCTTATCATATTAGATAGACTTAAAGTCAAAGCAAACTAAGGTGTAAACATATCACAGTATACCAATATTGTATATTGGACTACAGTTTTTTTAATATTAGCAGTTTTTTTTTTTGGAAATTTTCTTATATTTCTTTTTACCATTCCAACTGAGCTCTAGGCTTGTGCTAGCATATGGTTTAAGACAGTAGTCGAATAGCTGAATTCGAACGCCGACCTCGTGATCGGAAATCCGTACACTAAACCATTAGGCTATTGACGCTTCAAATAAAACACAAAACGTCAAACAAAACTATTTATTTAAGAGTAATTAAAACTTAGAAATAAAATCAATATTATTTACCGTTCTAAAGCGTTATATTCAAGAGAAACTACTCTTAGAAACCCACAACGATTTTCATTTTTTTTTTATAAGAGAAGGGGACAAACGAGCGGATGGAACATCGAGGTGAATAACGACATCCATGGACATCTTCAACACCAGAAGAACTGCGGATGCGCTGCCGGCTTTTAAGGAAATGGTATGCTTTATGCTTATTTAAGGGCTCTAAGTCGTATGTTACCCTAAGTGGTTTGGAAATAATTTTATATATATATTTATTACTAAAATATCCTTACATTAAATTGCATAATATTTAAGCAATTAATAAATACTTTCATACTTTGATTTTTGTCGCAACATATGTAATTTATTTTTATATTTTATTGGGTATCAGGTAGAGATTCCATTCCTACAATGACAGTGACCGCGCAAACAAATCCCGGAGTTCTTTCCACGCTGCTGACACAGCAGGTTGCAATCCAAGCGGCAAGGTAGACGCGGCTTTGCTTCGGCCACTCCTTCTGGGAAAAAAATCATCAATGTAACGCCATTACAGTTTTTTATTCAAACAATATTTTATTATGATAACAACGAATATTGTCTTTCGAATTTCAGATCTATCCACAATAAGTGGGTCTGATTGCAATTACTAGATTAATTAACATATAATAAAAAATACAACCAAAGAACGAATCTGCTGTAAAGTTATTTTTCGAATACAGTTTATACGAGTAAATAGGTTCTGAATGATGGAATTTTTCTTGACAAAAGTGCACACTTATCATAAGGCGAACTTGCTAATTTCTGCTTTAAATGAATCTCTAAAATTTGTATGAAATTTTAAATATATTATTTAATATCCGAATACATCTATGTTATATAGATAGTGTAGTCTGCTTGATCCAGGCTTTAAATTGCCTGTCATTAGCGAAAGCCTCACTGTAAGCCCGACAGTATTAGGAAATGTCTATTACGTCACTCGAAATCCTTACAAATGCCATGACGAGTAGAAATTGTCTGTAACATTACCGCTAAGCATTGTTAATGTTGTACATAGCACACATACGTATATAATAAAAAATCTCTTGAAATATCAATTATTTACAACTATTATATATTTTCTTTGACATGCCTTTATTTCTTAAGTAATTTCTGATAGAAATGTGTCAGAGTAATTTTTGAATTAATGGAAAAATCATACGTAAAATTTAGGAAGGAAAAATCGCACATGCAAATGTAGATATTTGAACCCACAATTAATTAAACTTATCGTGAACGAAATAGTCTCTTACAAGAGAAAATAATATCTCTAAAAAATATTATTTTTGTAAAATATCGATATGATGATATTGACTTCACTAGTCGATAAATATTTGAAGCTATTAGCCGAAAGTTACGCTAACAATGACCATAAGAAATGTGAGGTATGTATTAAACGGCTCTCGCTCGAGGGGAAATTAGATGCCGAATTATATACCTGCTTAGACATTAGGTGGTTACGTGGCTTTTTAACATTCCAAAGGCGTAGAGAATAGGATGGAAGTGGATAGAAGGTTCGCTTATAAGTTCCCTTGATGACTTCAGGTTTCACGCATTTACGCCCCGTTACTTCGGCCACCGTAATTTGATCCCCTTGAGGTAATTGTACAAGAGCCTTTTGCTCCTTTATTTATATAGAGTTGAATAAATATTTACTGAATAGTACTAAAGTAAACTAAGAAATTTCATTACAGGTTCAACACACGCAACATATTTAAAATGACGTTAAAAAAAAAGCCAAGTTTGACTTGAACCATTTCACCAAATTCGATTTGCAAAAAGCTGATATTGCTCTACAAAAACCAAACATAAAGTTATGTGTGATTTACTTTTGCTCAATAATTAAAACTAAGATACGATATAGCCATAAAGCCGTTAAAACCAGGTCAGGACAATATTTTATTTCGGCCAGGTACATTTGAATCGAAACTCGTGCCATTTAATTGGTTTACCGCGTGCTATTGTTCGAACACAATAAGACGATGTTAAGAGTATTCTCTCGGCATTTACGACGGGATAAATTATAGCTTAATTAGAACGTCGCCTAGAAATTGGTGCAGTATTGTTATATTGTATTGGATTTGAGTTGGAATCAAATTGAAATACTAATTCCACCATACAATATCAACAAACATACATGAACGAAACAGAGCATTTTCTCTTATATTAATTTTATTTTAAAATTATAAATTATAAATGCAAATGTTTAGATCGATGTATGTTTGTTTGAACATATCTCCAGAACGGCTGCACGAATCTCGATTAAATTTTGTATACACACAGACCATAGTCTGGTAGAACACATAGGCAACTACTTATGTTAAATATTTTTTAATAACGCGCGGGCGGAGTCGCGGGCGACCGCTATTTAAATTTAAATACTCTAAAAATATTTGGCTCGGCAAAAATATAACTTATCAACAATAACTTTGTTACAGTTTACTGTTTACGGATACAAGTTTTGTCCTCCGCATTGGCAGGACCTGTGCAAACAGGCACCAGACATTTTGGAGTACAAGAGACAATGTTCACTGCAATCGCGGCGGCAATGCAATTTACTCTGAGACACAGCCCGTGAGACTGAAACAAAGACACATTGATTTTAGCTAATTGCCTCATCTCTCGTACCATTTGGTAATTAATAAAGGTGAATAGATACTAATATAGATAGCTAATGCAATTACTATTAACTTTTCAGATTTATGTCAAAAATATGTAGAATTCTACACTACAAAAACTATGTATATTGCAATTAATTAATGTTTTAAAAATAGACACTGAAACAGTCGTTGAATAAGGCATAGTCACCCTAACTTGGAAAGATTAGAACCCCGAGAGTGGGGACGTTTATGTGCTGACAACGAAGAAAACAAAACAAACGACAGAAAAAATATTTATTACAAAATTATGTAACACTGTCGACCTCATAACATTATCACGGTTCAGTCGTCAGGTCGTACATGACATTTTATCACACCACATTACTGATATGAACGTTGACTTGCAGTGTTTATAAGAAACATGCATATTTTTTTAATAAACGCATACATATGTACCGACGCGACGTTAGACCGTGCAGCAGCGCTGCAGTGTAATCGGAAGTTCTAAAATATAAAAGTAGTGTTTGGAAGTAATATATTTTC